TAGACGTTAACAACACTTTCCTACATAGCAAATTAAATGAAGTAGTATATATGGAACTTCCCCCAAGAATTCCTTGTTCTAATCCTACTAAAGTATGCAAATTATAGAAGTATTTATATGGGCTTAAACAGGCCAGTAGACAATGGTATTCCAAGCTTTTAACGACTTTAATTTCAATCGGATACACTCAATCCTCTGTATTGTTTACCCGCAAACATGAGTCTCATTTCACAGTTTTACTTGTCTACGTAGATGATATTGTCTTAACAGGTAGTAACATAGATGAGATAAAACGTGTAAAGGAATTCCTTGATGATCACTTCAAGATTAAAGATTTAGGGACTCTTCATTTTTTCTTGGGTTTGGAAGTCACGCTCTTCACATGGTATTCTCCTAAATCAATGAAAAGTATGCCTCAGAGTTACTTTATGATACTGGCTTAACAGGAGCCAAACCAGCCTAAACACCAATGGATCCATCATTGAAACTTCACTACAAGTTGGGAGAACCTCTAACTGACATTTCTCTATATTGTCGCCTAATTGGTCGACTTCTATATCTGACCACAATGCAACCTGATATCACATTCAGTGTCCATCAACTTAGTCAATTTCTTGCTTCCCCAACTGACGTTATCTCAATGCTGCTCATCGCATCTTAAGATACCTGAAGAACTCTCCTGCTAAAAGAATTTCTTTCCAACTTCCGGCGACTTGTAATTCAGCGATTATGTAGACGCTGATTGGGCTTGTTGCCCTGATACAAGGAGGTCGATTACTGGTCTTTGTATTTTTCTTGGTTCGTCACTCATTTCATGGCATTTTGAGAAACAATCAAGTGTATCCTATTCATCAACCGAAGCGAAATATCGTGCCTTAGCAGCAATTACTTGCGAGATCCAATAGTTATCTTACCTCCTCAAGGATCTTCACATACCCTAACCAAAGCCAGCACCTATGTTTTGTGATAATATCATAATCTTGTTTTTCATGAGAGATCCAAACATATTGAGTTAGATTGTCACAAAAGTAGGGAAAAGATTCAAGATGGATTATAACACCTCCTTCCCATTCTTTCCAAAGCTCAAGTTGCTGATATTTTTACTAAAATTCTACATCCATCCTCCCTTAACTAGTTAATAGGCAAGCTTGGTCTGATTAATATACACAACCCAACTTGTTGGGGTGTTAGAAATCAATAAACAACTTAGCAGCAGGACAGCTAGAGTAGATGAAGTCATGCAAACGTAGTTACTCTCACATGTAATATTAGTTGGTTAGCTAGTCTTATTTGTTAGAAGACTTGACACATGTAACATTATCTCTAGTTAGTTAGAACTACTTGTATATATAGCAATAGCACTAATAGAATAGAATTTATTTTCTCTGCAATATTTTTCAATCAATGAGAATTCAGGTTTGTTCTCTCTCTTTTCTTCTATGTGTTCTTGTTGCTCACTAATATGGAGCTGTCATCAGATGAAGCTACCTTCGTAAGATTTTGGCCTACTAAATAATTTTTTTGTAACATTCTCGAAAAATTCATTTTCCCAATATATTCTAGAGAATCATGATTCACTAGAACAAAAAATTTCTCCTCTACTAAACGTCCCCTGAAGATATTCCTCTCTACAAAGGGTAATCAAGAGAACTCTTCTTGACATGCGCACTCGATGAACAAATCTAGAATGCTCCTAAGTCCTCATTCGGCTCGAAATTTAGATACTGAAGGAAATTACATATCCATAATCAATTATGTAAATGTATATATTACATTAAGCAGATAAATGGTATTTATACCGAAAGAAATTACATAATCCATAAATATTCATGTGTATTTTTCATATTCACGGTCTAAAATCCAATTCTCTATATGAAGTTTGATTGGAATTTTTACAAATCAATTTAATTGCTGGCCATACAAATAAAATAATTAAGCTTAATTATATAAATATCCAAAGCCAATAATCAATATATGAATTCAAACACAATCACATGTTCCAATGATACCCCCTAAATGAGATTTTAGTTATAAACATTGTCAATATAAATCTCATTACAGAACAAAAAGGTAAATTAAGAGGGAATAAGAAAAGTTCGTGAATTACTCCTAAAGGTGACTTCTCTTTCTTGATCGCCTGATTCAATGAAAATTAAAAATAAGAGTAAATATCCTTTTTGGTCCTCAGCAAATTTCACGATCCCCGTTTTAATTCCTAGCAAATAAGAAGGCTTATCGTAGTTCATAAAAAATTCAAAATGAATCAATTTTAGTTCTTTTAAGGACTAATATGGGTCTTTTTTGAATTTGTGAGGAACTACAATTTCAACTAAATGGGTCCATTTTGAGTTTCTTAGGAACCACGATGAGCCTTTTTATTTGCTAGGGACTAAAGCGGGCATCGTGAAATTTGCTGAGGACCAAAAATGGTATTTATTCTAAAAATAATAATAAGCGTTTTTTTTTTCTAGAGTTTCTTACTCTTTAATACACAATCCTTGAATACAATCTCCTTCAATACACAATCCTTGAAAATTAAGATTTGTAAATCATTTTCACTCTTTAAGTCTTCTTGAAAGTCTCCTAATAAAACTTTCATTTGCTTATATTTTAATAAAATCTTCAAAAATATGCAGTTATTATAATTATTTAATAATTAATAAGTATTAACCAAAGTAACCACCAACATCCTAAAACAAGATTATTTAATTTATATTATAATGCAGTGAAACATTTTTAATAAGAATAAATAATATTAGGAAATTATCAGTTTTTCTAACATTCTTCTTGACCAAAAGCAATACTAATTAATGTATAGAAAAAAGCAATATTAATTAGTCAGACATGATGTCGCAACGTAAGGATAAAAGAAAGAGAAATATTTTTCACCAAAAATAAAAAGAAAGATAAATATTACTATTATAAATCAAACTAATCTCCAAGCACAGACACTTGTAAAAACAGGAAGAGTCGGGTCCGACACGCTCCGACACGGCGACACGCTCCGACACACTCCGACACGGTGTCGGACACGCGGTTGACTTTTTCCGACACGTTGACCATTCCGACACGCGAATTTGACCGTGTCCGACACGGTCAAATGGCATTTTCGTAATTATTATTATTATTTTTTTAAAAAAATATTTTTTTAAAAGTTGAAATATATTAATAAAGCTTCCACCTGATCATATCAATTTTATCTTTTTGTCTTTTTTCCTTAATTAGATAAGAGATCATCTCAGCATCATTGTTGTCAATTTCTATCACGCTCTTGTTGTATCTTCTTCTCCCTGATCTCTCTCTAGTATGATTTGATCTTTCTATCTGATATTATATCTCTCTCTTATCCCAGTTCTTATTTTTTTTATTAAAGCTCCATCTTTATAACGTGTTGATGTGTATTATTAATTTAGTTTCATTTTTTTGTTAAATTATTAAATATTAAATGAAATATAACTATATAAATTAAAAATAATTTAATATTAAAACGTGTCCCAACGTGTCGAAATCCATAATTTTTTAGGATTGACGTGTCGGAGTGTCGTGTCGTGTCGTGTCACATGTCGCGTGTCGTATCGGTGCTACATAGATCTCCATAGACTAAGCTGCTTAATTTTCTGATGATCGCTCCTTGATTTTATAGGCAGATGATTAAAACACATATGGGGCTGAACCTTTAGCCATCACTGTTCCCCCGCACTCCGGATTAGTCCCATAGCCGGCTCAAAGAGTCGAAGCTCGTGGGGATACCGGAGGGAGCCAACTCGTCTCAAAGAGATAATTAGGGTTGAGTAACTCCAAAAAAAAAAAAATAATAATCTCGTCTCTTATATTTTTTTGTTAAAAAATAGAAAAATTAAATCTGAGTAATATACCTTAAATAGGAAAGCATTGGAATCAAGGACTTTGCACCAATGTTATTAAAATCGGCTCGATGATTGACCCGGTCGAGGTACTGAGTCACTGGGTCATTGGTTCAACCAGTGGATTACTGGTTCAACCGCATAACCCGGTAATTATATGCAATTTTATAATTTATATTAAAAAATTATAAACACACTCAAATATCTAAGCAAAAATGACAAAAAATTCAAATATTTTAATATAAAAAAGAATAAATCACATATTATTATACAATAAATGATCAAACAAAAATATAATGATCGTGATACGGAGCTTTAGGTTCAGAAAATGACATCTCTAACTATAAATCAAATCAAAATTTTTTGCATAGTATATAATTAAGATAATATTAGTGTTGTAGGTACATAACTTATGTAAGTTAATAAGAAAAAATTATATTTAAATATGTCCATTATAATTATTTTTTTTGAAAAAAAATTTGGAATTTTTTTTGGAACAGGGCCGGGTCACCGGTTTTTATGAAAACCGGCCAGGTCGCATCGGTTCTAATGTATGACCGGTCCGTTGTTTGAACCGGACCAGTTATATGACCGATTTACCGATTCACGGGTTGACTCGACCGGATCAGTTCGGTTCGATTTTAATAACACTGCTTTGCACAATTACCATATAGATGGGGTCAGTGTCGAGTCCCTGTTTTCCGTCAAAGAAAGAGGACCACAGAAGCCGGAGAGGACACTTTGATAATCAAGTCAAAGTATCAAACTATGAAGAAAGAGTATTATTCAGATAATGTACTAAAAAAAAAAAGATTTATTGAGATAAATTTTCAATTAAACAAAGAAAGCAGAATGTATGGATTTTATTCGTTATCCGCATTTCCTGATGAGACGGCATACTGTAATCCCATTAAGTCACGGGACTCATCCTCTGAAGAAAATTTCAAGTGTTATATGGAAGGTTCTCCCAGGGCTCTATTCAAACCCAATTAACCAAAACCCAAGGCCCAATTAGTTTGAGCCTACCCAAGGCCCAATGTTATATGTTTCCAGTTCGATAATGAAGATCAAGAATGGGAATGTACAAAAGAAATAGAGATCAAACATTGAGTATCGATTTAGTTCCCTCATAAACCTAGCAAGCAACAAAAATAGAAGACCAAGAAGATTTCTAATTAAAGTTAATGAAAAGTTAAAACTCATCTTGTATGGTAATAATTTATCAACGGACCAAGATGTACAAGACGATGAGCAATTGACGTGACCCACTTCTTCATGGTTCATCCTCTATCATTTCTTTTGGAAATTAAGGCTATCTTGTACAAGCACAACATATAACCCAATAAGTTAGGTCAATCTCTCTCTCTCTCCCTCTCTCCCTCTCTCTCTCTCTCTCTCTCTCTCTGGCTTGAAAAATGGATTTACAAGTTAGAATAATTAAAGCACTCCTATGAAGATATTATTAATCGTCTCCCCAAGCCTCGTCTCTCAATTTTTGCCTGGTAACAATACGTTCTCTTCTAGCATCTTCTTGCTTTCTATATTCACGGGACCCAGAGCTCATGGATGACAATTTTAGCCCCATTCCGTGAGCAATCAGCCTCTGCGCTGCTTGGGCTGAGGTTTTAGGCCTTTGCCGAGGTGGTTCCAGGTCTGAATGAACAATGAAACAGGAAAACCATGTAAGCCAAGATTTATTGTTCTTACCATTAATTGATTCACAAAGTGCAATATACAATAGAATTTGACTTTGATTCATTGACGGTGTAAGAAGTTTTAAACTAGCAGTGTACTAAACACACATTTTTTCATAGGAAAAGAAAACCATAGCATCTACAATTGTGTAGTACTTTGTAGTATACGGTCGTGTTAAACACTATACAGGGAATCAAATTTAAACACTAAACCAAGATGTGCATGTTGCAAAAATATATACGATCTCAGGAACTGCATTTTAACTGAAAATGGTTGCTGATAGTGAAACCAAGTTTGAGTAAACAAGCCAGTCTGTTTAGAGAGTCCCAAAATACTTCCATAAATATAGAAAGACACCCGACACACACAAGTAGTAGTTAAACAAGTTTGAATTAAAGAACCAGGCTGTTTAATAAGATGCAAAATACTTCAATACATAAGAGATCACACAAAATGCACAAAGCACACCATAATATTATGATTCCCTACACGCTTCTAGCAACAAAGTTGAGAGGTACTTTAAAGATTGAGCAGAGCTTTATGACAAGGCTATCCTCAGGTTCCCAGTACTTCAATTTCAAAAGTAAATGCATCACGAAAAGACTAAAATATATAGTAAACCTCCTTATAGTACCCTCATATAACAGAAAGAGAAAGCAGTTAGTAAACTACCTCTTGCTTTAATTGAACTGAGAAGTGTATCATCTTCATCAAGAATCCTCACAGTGAATGAACAATGGATACTGTTTCGAGCCTCAAGTGCTGCATTACAAAATAATGGTACTGAATAGTCAAGTAATCAAAATAAAGAGACATGAAACGAAAAAAGAAAAAGCATTCCAGCCAAATTGATGCAATATAAGGATACAAAATGCTGACATATTTTTTTTAAAATCATGTGCAAAACTATTAGATTAAAGTCACTCCAACCGTCTCACCCAAAAGACACAGGAAAGGTCATAAAAATATGTCAAGCTTTCTATATGTTGGTGTAGATCAAGCGATCAATGATGTGAAGTTGTTCAAGAGAGTCTTTATAGTCTAAGATAATTGAAAACAAGAAGTTTTTGCATACTTCAGTTACACCAAACCAACTACCCATGCCACACTCTGCAAATATCGTCGTACAATATACTTTTACGAGAATGAGAAGCATGGCAGTCTCCAGGCTATTTACAGGTCCCCACACCCATCCTCTGTTTTCCAATATACAAAGGAAGGCGAAAGTTCAAAATGCCTTTCTTCTGAATGATGATATCATCATCTAAATAAATACCAATCTTTGACTCCCATGCCATAGTCAGAACGATGCAAATACCAGGTATCACCAATTACACAGTGGTTTACACTACATGCTTTAGAATATTAGAGGATGATGTCATCCAAGAGAGAACTGAAGTGGAAAATCTATATAAAATAGCTCAAGTACTAGTTTACATAAGAATAAATGTAGCAATCCTCCCAAATCAGTGCCTGTCATGTCCCAAAATCTCAACTTTATTGGCATGCAACCTTAGTTCACTATCAAAATACAGAAACAAAATAAACCTTGATGCATGTAAAAATTTCGATAACATTATATAAGAAAAACAATAATAAAGTCAGGTAACTTGGTAATTACCAACTGAAGGTGTTCGGAATACCGCAAGTGCAACTGTATCATTGACCCAGCGAATCACAAATCCACGATCTTTGAAGTCCTCAAAAAGATTCTCCAGCTCTGTCGTCCTAGTACTTGGTGAAAAGTCAGCCAGCACAAGAACATGACCGGTCCCATATTTTGCTGAAATGAATAAACAACTAATTATAATCCAAATATCCAAGTGTCTTCAACACAATAGCAGAAATGATAGATGATCTTTTGAATGCATTTGAAAACTGTGGAAAATGAAAATTATGAGCTGGTATATTAGAAGCAATCATAACCAACTAGCATGCCATTAACCATTACATATGCATAATAACTTATGTTGCACAAAAATGAAATAATATAGGTGTACAAAATAAGCTTATTACTGAAAGATTAAACTGTTATGAGCCATCACTTACAGTTTTGTATATCTCTTTTATCTTCTGAATTACAGTGAGTCTCTTCATCCTCAACATCAATGACTGAGCTATCAAGTAACTGATCACTATAAAGTTCATGTTTTTCATAAGAGAATGTTCCTCTTCCACGACGCTTTGGGGTTGGACTTTTGGAGTTCTCCAATTTAAGATTTGATACTCCAGATAAACAATCGGAAGATACCGTAGATAGTAACTCATCAGGTTCAAGATCGGCTATTGCTTCCCAATCTGTAGTATTTCACAATATCATTCACATTGCATGACTACAATAAGTAACATCATTGACATAATTACTCAGAAGATGAAAATTCTTACAATGAACTTCCATGTTTTTATAACAGTTTAGGATTTTCTATGATTTCCTTTCTGAATGATTATTCCATATAAGGAGAATATTATAGCTATTGAGCCTGTTTTGAATTGACCAATGCCTTGACTTATAGCAAAGAAGAAAATATACCTCACATTGAACCCAAATGATCAACCGCCGATCCCAACTAGTTTGGGTCAAAGATAATGTTGATGTTGATATTGATGTTTAAATGCTTGTAGTTGTAGCTAATTTTTTGGATGTTTTTGGACAAAAGGTTAGCTAAAGGAAGCATGAAGGAAAAAAGCAATACTTATGCTACATGTTGGGTACCAAGCATATGATACAGTTTTCGTAGCTCAAAAACTTCAACACATGCAACGGATGAGAATTGCATGGAACCCACAGTCATAACATAAACAAAAGAACAAGAACAACCATAAATCAACACACTTACATTAAACATGGTTCAGCCAACATGCTTACATTCATGAATGAGAAGAAAACAAATCCACTGTCATAATGAGATTACAGGAACTGTCTGTATAACATCTCAATGTCCTATATATCCCACAACTATCTCACCTTTATCCTACATCCCTCCTGAACCCTGTGAGTGTTCACCCTTCAAAAACCCTCCCACAACTCTCATCTCTGCTTCTCTTCTCATGCTCTTCATCAGCCCATCTGCTCTCTACTTATGGAGAGCCATCCACACGCTGTTTCATCATCTGCTCTACATCTTAACATAGACATGCTCCACATTTATGCAGCCATCTCCCTCCCCCAATTTTTCTTCACACCTCCCTCTTCTCTTTCTTTTCTTTTCTTTCTTTCGTGCACACACACAATCACCAAATTACTTCACACAGATCACTCTTTTATTATACCTCCTTCACTTTTCACGTTCAGACACTTACATTACTTTCACTCTTCACAAACTCTCATTCAATACTTTCATTTCCTCACAGCAAAAATCACTTAATCACATTCTTTTCTTTCTTTATTACATTCACACACACATTAAAGTTACTACTCTTACACACTTAAAATTTAACGCAAATACCCCAACACTATATTATAAGCTTACATCCTTCAACTTTCTGTTAATACAAGTTTAAGATTGGGGAAAAATAAAGTTACAAGCACAATGATTAGTATATAGAAATATAGAAATGAAAAGATATTGTATGATATTTATGGAAGCTAAAAAAAACATACCATCATCAGAAGAACCGTTGTTGCCAGTGGAAGTTTCGGCGTGGTTTCCAAGATGGCCTTGAGAAAGGAAGGAAATTCCCATTAACAGTGGCACAGAGCAATTAACTTCACGAGAGAAGTTTACGTACCATGATTCGAAGCTCCGTCAAGAGTAGAATCTTTCGAAGAAGACGAAGAAAGAGCGTTGGTTTGTTTATGATTATCTCCGTCCTCCTTGGACTCTGCGTGACTGAAAAAACGGAAAATATCGAAACCACGACGAAAACTCAGCGAATTTCTTAAAACGAAAACACCGTTTCGGCAATTAAAGAGAAAAAAGGGAGAGAGAGAGAGAGAGAGAGAGAGAGAGACTGAGAATGGTGAATTTGTTTGATGAGGGAAGCGCGAGATTGGAGTTGATCGGCTTTGAGAGAGAAACCCTTGGAGGAGTAAAGTTTTGCCAAATCGGAGAGAGCAGAGGATAATTGAAGCTGGGAAACCCAATCGGAAGGGTTTAGGGTTTGGACAAGAGATTCGAGGAGTGAAATGGCGCTTTCCGTGTCCCCTGATGCTACCAGGTCTTCAACCGCTTCGCTCCAATTTTCTCCTGCTTCTTCCTCTTTCTCTTTCTCTTTCTCTTTCTCCATTGCTTAAAATCCCTGCAACTTTCACGATCACGAATCAATAGAGACCAAGGATTATTCTAACAATCTATATGGTTTAGCTACGTTTGTATTTGCAACAATTTGATTTCTACTTCCACCCTCGTTGAATCGAACAAACCTTGGGTGCCACTGCTGTGCCATACATCATTTCTAAAAACAGAAAAATTTTGGATATGAAAGGAATTATGAGAAAAGATTTGGATTCAAATGGCATCAAAAGTTTCCAATTTAAGAAAATGTTGTTCCCAACTCAATACAGCAGAAGCATAGAAGAAAATTCTCGTTGAATCCTTATCACTATGGATGAAATTAGACGGGACTGGCCTCCAGGGCCTATAGTCTAGTTTATATAAGGTCGAGCTCGATTTCTATTACATATAGTTCGAACTTTTAAAGAAGTTTATTTAAAAAGTATGTGATACACTTTTTTTTACATGTTAGACCTATAAACTTACAGGTCATCCTATATCATATTATTTATTTTAAATTAAATAAAATAATATTATTCATAGTAGTATCAAATGGTGATAGTTCAGTTGATGCATGTGAGTTAAGTAGCTAGGTGGTGGAAAGACTTAGGTTAGTTCCCTAGCCAATCTATCTTTGAGAAAATCTGTACCAATATCTATATCAGAATCAATATTTAGTGCTGGAAGAAGAGTTATTAATGTCTATTGTTCTAACTTGGCTGACAATACCATCCAAGCTTTAATATACGACGAAGATTGGCTACGTAATAGGTATGACTTGAAGAAAAAACAAAATGTATACATTTAATCAATTGAAATTATTTTATAATTTAATTATATTCGATTAAAATTTGACTATATTTTTCATGTAGGAAGAACCAACATCTCAGCATGTGAGATTGCCTATATAAATCTATTAAAAGATTTTTTGTTTCTTAATCTTATTTTTTTTGTTTATATTCTTTATTCTTGTTTTTTGTTTTCTACATTTACAAATTGTTTGTCAACTTATTTAATATTGGAATTGTATTTATAGGGGAGAGAAGATGAAGAGAAGTTTTTGACTACTACAAACATCATGATGTGTTTGTTGGATTCATGTAGTTATTTTAATTTACATAGTATATATTTATATGTTGAATCTGATGAAATATATGTTATTTAGTTTGAGCATTTTGCTTTTTGAAAGTGACTTAAATGCAGATTGTGATGAGTTTTATGGTGATTAATTGTTCTGTTTGGACGTTGAAATTGAGATTATTATTTTTTTAGCAACAGAATTTGAGTATTTTGTGTAGTTGATTCATAGTTCTGCTTGGAAGTTAAAAATTAACATGCTAACGGGCCAAGCCAGGCCATTTATTTTTTTATAAACGAGTCAAGTCAGGCTAACAGTTAGACTCGAACTAGGCTCGGGCCAGGCCAAATTGAAATTTTTTGGCATAGGCTAGGGCTTTTCGGAGCAAAATTCTGCCCAGCCCAGCCCACTCCACTTTCATCCCTACTTATCACCTGCCGCTAGAGTTAGCTTATTGGTGGGTATGTAATAAGTTGTGTTAAATTTTTTATGTATCCAAAAAAAAATTATCACCTTAATTTTTATTAGAGAGTATTTGGTAAAGGAGAAAAAAAATTTACCAGGAAAATATAATCACTGGGAAAATGATAGGAAAGGTTTGAAGTGATTTTTCTGGAAAAGTTAAAAAAATTTGTTTGGTAGGCCAAAATATCATCGAAAACATTTTGGTGTAAAATTGCTATAAGTTTGAGTTTGCCAGGAAAATCAAAATACCACCATCAAAGTGGTATTCCCAAGTGGACATTTTCCTTCATTTTTACACTACATATGGACCCTAGATTGGTTAAGTTGAACCTCTGTAATAACTAAACTAAGTCAGAATCAATTGGATTAAGGGCTTATGACCTTGTGAGAAGCCTAATGGCATGAAACGTAAAAGAAAAACGTTGTCGTTATGTCATAAACTATTAGATTATGAATATCGATATGATTGCTGGTTTAAACAGACCGTGAGAGTGCTGTTTGAGGACCTTGGGCGGTTGTGTACTGTTGTCTTGAGATTGTTAGCTTGCGAGGTAAGCTTCTGGTCCTCGGATTGATCTGTTGCTTGTTCCACCGACCTCCATGGGAGGGTGGTTTATATGCATGTATGCTTTTATAAAAATAAAATATGCATTGATATATGCCTGAGATACGTGAAATTAACTGTTGATGTAATGTATGAATGTGATGTTGATTACTTACACGATCAGGCTGCGACCCTGGTGTGTAAGGCATAAGGTTGCGACCCTTATGTTTAGATAGGTCGCAGACGTGCATAAATCCTATCTTGTTCCCTGGCCAATCGAACCGCATTTGCATACATCACATGATTAATGAGTTGTAGTACTTGGCTCGTTAAGCAAGAAATATGTTGTCATGATTTACATGCTTTAACATGAACATGTATTGTAATTACTGTTTTCGAACTTATAATTATACTTGTAAGTGAGCTTGGGGCGGAAGAGTCCTAGAGGACCCCTTGTCTTATTGAGATTTCTTTTTAGAGATCTCACCCCACGTTTTGTGGCACATTTTCAGGTTCAGGTACCTCGGGGTTTGATACCTCGGGCGGCAGGAGGCCGGAGCTTAGTTGACTGATACATGCGTATTTATGCTGATATACTTAGATGCTAATTATGTTTTATTGTCATTATACTGTTATTTGAGCTGAGACTTTGTTGGGCTTTGTTGTATCATTTGGTGAGCATGTGGATTGTCCATGCCACATTGATTATGTTTTGTTTATTTAGACTCGTGATGTATAACGAATCAGGATTAGGTCCGGGCCTACGTGTTGTAGTTCCGTGACTAGATACACATTTATTTAATGAGGTTATTCAGTTAGCTTTTATTACAATTTACATACAGACATTATTTTGGAAAATGATTAAATAATCAACTTGGTTAATAATAATGACATCATAATTGAAAGAAAAAGTTAGCTTCCGTATTTAATTAGTAGCTACTGCCATATGTATGTTTAATACGCCGAGTGCACACAAAATGTTACACTGACCATCACCCCAGCGCTACCCAGGAAAAAGGCGTTGACATAGGGGAAAATGGCTTCCTTCCAACCTAACACAAAATGGATGGAAATTCAAAGAGAAATCAAACTTGAACCATTGAACAAAGAGAAATCTCCTCCATTCTAGGATTTCCAAAAGAGATATTGAACAAAGATATATTACCAAAACAGAAATGTCAAAGGAAGGTGAAACTATCATTTTGCAGGAACATCGTCTTCCTATTGCTTAGAGGAATTATGGCACAATAGGAAAAGATTCAGAAGTGTCAGGGCTTAGCAAATTTAGATAAAAGTGAGAAGGCGGGAGGTGAGAAAGTGCAGGCGAGAAGCGATGGGGGAAATGAAATAATAATGTGAAAAAATTGAAAAAATAGAAAGAAATAGAAGATAATTATTGTCAAAAATAGCAGAATATAAAATGTTAAATTATCGTCCTAATAATACACTATTAATTATGAATTTGATAATATATTAGTTAGTGTATTGATTGGCACTATCTGTTTGTCAATTTATACTTACTTTTTTAAGATAAAATCAATTCTATATTATCATATTTGATTATTCTAAAATTGTCAATACAAATACAAAAATTCAGTATTTAAAAATAAAAATGAATCTGATCTACATTTGAAGTAGAGATAGTAAATATAATTTAAAATTAAATTTTATTTGATTAAATTGGAGATAGTGTTGTCAGTTTTTAAAATATTTTATCTCTAATTTGATCTTTTTTTGGATATTTTTTTTTCTAAATAAGATATTCAACTTAGGTCCATTAAGTACTATGCGCAATAACTAAGGAGAAAGTCCTCGGTCGTCAAGTTTCCGTTGACTCAAAATAAGAAAATTTTGGATCTAAAAGGTAAAAAGTGATCTGATGGCAGAGATAAAAAAAAAACGAAAGAGAGAGATTTGGTTTTGATGTGATGTTTGATACTGTGATAAGATTTGAGGAAATTTGAGAAAGAATTGAGAATTTGCTAAAGAGAGAAGCGATGATTAAATATGATGGGTCAACACTTTATTTCATTAGATATGATAAGTCTCGTGTGAGTCAGAAATATCCTAACCAATAAAAAGGAAAATAATCGTAGTAAAGAAAAAAAATAATCATAACAAGAAAAGGAAAATAATCCTACAAAGAATAAGGAATTAATTTTAAGAAAGGAAATAATTGTATAAAAGGAAATAAAGTTCGTCTCTTAGGGTCTTTAGGTTGGTGAAGAGAGAGAAACCGGCAAGGAGGCGAGAGATGCTACGGCGGAGGAGAAAGATCTTCTCCATCGAAGCACAAAAAAACCTAAAGGCCCTGCTAAGGAAGATCAACCTATGGATGATCACATGGCAGAGGAGGATATCCAGGTGAATGTGACTAGCAACAGGGAAAAAAAAGGAGGAGTCAGGTGATTCATCTAACAGGAAGTTGGTGTTATATAAAGATTCTCTTCTTGGTTTTAATGGGGGACCCCATGTTGCTGATAGCGATGAGGAAGATTGGGTAGAAAAACTACGTAAGGAAGAGGACGAAGAAGAAGGGGATGAGGTCTTTGTTACGGTTGATGGTGAGGAGGATCTTCTTTGCCCAACGTACTCTTTTTCAAAAGCCTTGCATTTAGAAGGTTGCAGACCTTGGAGACAGGCAGTGATTGTGAAACTTCTGGGGAAGAAAGTTGGAGTTAGATTCTTACTCAATCGTTTACTAAGAATGTAGAATATCTCAGGCACATATGAGTTCATTGATCTGGATAATGACTACTTTTTGTTCCGATTTTCTAATAAGAATGATTACTCTCATGTTTTGGAGGATGGTCCTTGGATCATAGCTGATCATTATGTGGTAGTTCAACGGTGGCGTCCATTTTTTAATCCTTATGATGATGAGATCAGAAAGCTGGCAGTTTGGATTCGTATTGCAGGACTTCCTATTGAATTCTATACCTCTCATCAGTTGTAGAATATAGGTAGTATTTTTGGTTGCACATTGAAGATTGATAGGAACTCTATCAGGAAACGTGATTCTGGTGAAGGTGATATTACAGAGAGAGCAAAGTTTGCTAGAATTTGTGTCGAAGTTGATCTTAGGAAAGGCTTTTTGTCCAAATTCCGGATTGCTGATCGTATCTTCCACGTTGGATATGAGGGTCTCCACTTAGTTTGTTTTGCTTGTGGAAAGTATGGGCATAGAAGGGAACAGTGTTCCCATAGTAATCTTCAACAAGATATTACGGCTTATTCTCCTGAAGTTTCTGACTCGGTGGTGCATAAGCAGCCGGCA